AATAATTATGTATAGTTAATTGTATGTTAAACAATAAAAAAAAGGAAATATAAATTTAAAAAATATCTTAACAATTTGGAAACGATAAAGAGAAAAATTAAGTATGCATGGAGTCGAATCGGATTAGTGTTTAGAATGTTTCGATGATAAGTAAAAATGTAAAATCGTTCCTCACCTTCACATGCTTTGTTTGAAAATTGTACACTGTACTTATACTTTCACTTTTATAAATTTTAATTGTATACCTACTAACTTATTTTTCTAAAAAAAGTATTTAAAATCAATATTATTTTAGATACTTGGTAGGTATATTTGTTATCAGTTACCATTATCGAGTTTCAATTTGAAACGTTTATGAACATAAAAATAGTAGATATTATTAAAACTATACGTGTTGCATATAGATACATAATACCTAAATATTTTATATTCTATTGTTTAAAGGAGTTTTTTGGTTTTTATGTATTATTTTTTAATAACGTCGGGAAATTCTAGATTTTAACTGTACAAATCTTAAAGCATGTAAGCATTCAGAAACAAATTAAAACAATCTATATCATTGCTAGGAAAGACGTTGAATCATATACCTTGAATCGTATGGAAATCAAAAAATAATTTTATTTAATGCTAAATATATATTATTTCAACATTAATCTGTAGATTAAAGAATGAATTAGCCATGGCAAAGGGCTATTTTTTAGCAAAAAAAGCAGAAGTTATATTATAAATTTCGTATATATAGATATTCAGCCAAACCTCAAAAGACTTTTCTATGACAATTAGTTTTTTATTTATAGCTAATATGTAGATTATAATACATATAAATAGGTTAATTCAGGAGTATATTTAGATATTCTTCTTGGGAAGGAGTGGATTGATTTTTCCTTCTAATACTTGCCTAAAGGTAGTTAGAATTAAAGTTTTTTCAAAATATTTGAATAATAAACACGCACAATTTTATGTTAATACAATTTTTGATTTATTTCAGTTCTCATGATAAAATAATAAACATAAAAATAATACTTTTCATGTGATATAATAAAACTAAAAGTATTATGATCCTTTCCTATCACCTCATCACGACCCCCCCCCATAAAATACAATTCTTGGTAAACCGGCTATTTTATGATAACCGTTTATTGTATACAACTAATGCAAAGAAAATTGTGTAGGTAATTATTCAATTTAATATAAATAAAATAAATACGATGTCTTTGGTAATGTACTAGGCCAATGATATTGCAGTTATATACTTACATCTTTCTAGCTAGTGACTACTTAAGTTAACTTTACTTAGATTATTCTATACGACTATACCTACGCATTATATATAGCTGTTAAGTGTAGTATACGATGTTTACACAGATAAACACCAAATAGGCTAATGTTTAACACACGATTATTTCAGATAAGTATACAACATTGAGTTGTTATGAAAATTAAACGTCGTGTGTGTTTGTTGGACCGTCAACCTTCCGTCGCGCATCGTTGTTTTATGCGTAGCAAATAATTTTAGGTAACACGACCAATGAGTCAGATTTTGTTTAAATCATTTTTATACAGTTTTGAATATTTTACTGTGAATGGTGAACACATCACTATGTATATATAAAGTCGTAAAGCAGCAAACAGGTAAAAATAATTTTTATTTTACATAAAAAAATTATCATGAGTCTTTATTTTGGAATCAAAATTAAAATAACTACAATATCAAATGTAGAACAAACATGGTTTGAACCTAATATTGTTCTTTGCAAGATGCTTTGAGACTTATTTAGTTGATATATAATGTTATTTTAAATACAACCACTAAAAATAAACCTAACATTGAATGGTTTTTTTACGTCACGACCCGTTCACTATTTTCTATAATTTATCTTCGGATATATCACGGAAACGATCAGGTTTTAACATATTTTGCTATTGTTACAAATATCATGTACAATAATTACATATAAGTAGTTGTATTGTGTAGTTATTTTAATAATACAATAACAATACCTTTAGGTGCAACTATGATTTGTAATCTCTAAAATAATTTCATAGAGGCACAATTATTATTAAAACTGTAAATTATTATCTACTTATTATAGTAGGATTACCTACCTAATATAATTATTTTAGGTAATGTAATTTATAAATTATTCCACGTACAAATAAGTCTAGTCTTATTAATAATACACGATTTTATATCACTGTATCAATGATTTTTCCTAATAAAAACATGATCATTTATAACTAATGAAAATACTTCTCTATTTAATTCAAGTATGAAAAAACTTATTTTAAAATGGTAATATTTTGGAGTGAATTTAATTACTGGTATATCGAAGTTTTGTAAAATATTTATTATTTTTGACAAATTACCACATAATCACTTTAAATTTTTTTCGGAACGTAACTTCGAACCGTTTGGTACTTATATGAAATACACATGGTTATTTTTTCAAAAGTGTATTTTAATAATACAAACATAATCACTAGCTTGTTATTGTTGATCATAACTCATTGATTGAATATTAGGTCAGGACCAATATTTTGGAATTCAAAATTCAATTTTTTTAATTTTTTTTTATTTTTATATTTGTTATTAATCATTATTTGATGTTAAACAATAAAGTACACTATCCGGGACTATGCCACCTTAAATAAAATAATGCGGTTTTCAACTCAAAGTTAGCGGTTAAAGTGAATCTTAAGACGAGCAATGCAAAAATGAAACATATAATTGTTGTACACGGTGCAGCAGCAGTAATAGCTATTCGGTATAAGTATTATATACGAATATTATTTTCCCGATGTCTTAGCGAACTGTCGCCGTAGGTACTTATTTATAAACGAATATTATCGTTACATAACATATAAATATATAATATTATATAGAAGAATTTGAAATCGAGAAATAAACATTCGTGCTTTTTGAGTGATTGCTTTTTTTTGTATTTTTCCTTCAAACAAAGAATATTGTAGTTGTTGCGCATAAATGAGAATAAAATATAAATATAAATATATTAATAAAAATAATCTAAAAATTATAGTATAAGATTACCATCGCATCGAAACGAACATTTTTTTTTTTATATATTACCTATTAAATATTATAATATTACATATACATACGCTGCTACAGGTACACGTAAAATAAAGATCGCTGTAGGCCACCGCAGCGGCGACGTCGGAATATAATATTATGAAGAGGAGAGGATGTAGGTAATATAGCAACAATAATTTTACGATTCTAATGAGCCCTGACTGCTGCTGTGACTACGCTGTTCTAGTGCAGAGGTGTTTAAAAATCGTGTTATTATTATCGATATAATATTATAATGGTTGTCACGGCGTGATGAGACGAGAGTGATCTATGTACCCTGCATGGCAGATGGCTGACAATTAAGTACTCGTGTAGATTCGTGAGTACAAAAAAAAAAAAAAAAATAATACCCTTTATATGTATATCAAACTTACTTTTTCAGGTTTTTTAGGATTAAAAAAAATAATAATTAGCTATATCGTTTGATAATATCTCATATATATATATATGTGTGTGTGTGTAGTTATCGCTTATATTCATATTAATAATACAAAAAATAATAAAATCTCATCCTATATATTTTAGCTACTGCAGTAATAATAATAATAATTTATTGTTTAAGAAAAATCTTCTAAACGTAATTAAAAATGTATAATATATTAATATTATAACACCAACTATCATTAAAAAAACCTCTAATCTCCGCTACATTTTATTTGTCTAAAAAAGATTAATTAACTTTAAAATTTAAATATTTCTTTCTGTAAATAGTAAATTAATAATAATCTTTTTTTTTTTTTTTTGATTTTGATTTTTAAACGTTTTTTATGCGTCTTGAAAAATCAAGTCTTAGATGGTGTTTAACGATGATTCACCTAAATTTATACGAGGTATAACTACGAAAATCGTTCGGCATCGTCGTCGTCTTCGTCGGAATAAATAATAATAACGCCTTGTCGGTGGGCCGATGCGCGTATACATGGACGACGTCGACGACGACGACGACGACTAATACTCGTTAGGCCACCCAGTTAGCGTCACGATAGGAACACATAAATACATATACATATATTATATTCACAGACTGTAATATTATTCAAAACGCGTTGTGAATGCGCGTGCGCGTGTAATAATAATAATAATAATTAGGTATTATTATTACTATAACGCCGCCGCGTGTGCGCGGGGAGAATATTATTATTATTATTATTATTATTGTAAACGAAAAGAGAGAATACTCGCGACGGGCGAGCGTCGAGCCGCGAGTTATAGCCACACGGTGTATACGACGAGAGCAATCGGACCGCCGGCCGTTGAACGCTGCGGTCGCGGGGACGAGTGGATGGCGTCGGCGGCGGGCGGGGGGGGATAGCCGTGTCGCGCCAATAAATTACGTCCGAGATGAATCGACTTGGTATCGTGTGATGGTTAACGCGGCGGCGGCGGCGGCGATATACGCGCTGGCGATGCACATAATATTATTACACAGACGAGCGGTGGCGATGAAGAAAACATAATTTAGTGTTTAAAAGAGGAGAGGGCCGCCGCCGTCGGTGTCGATGTCGGCGTCTGTGTGTCCGTCCGCCGAGCCGCCGACAAAGAAGGCGTAATTAAAGGGTTAAGGCGGCGGAGTGTTCGTCGGTGCGAACGGGCGTATGGGCGGTGCAGGGCTCGTCGATTGGTCGACTGCACCGGTGCCGCCGCCCGGCGCGCGCCGTCCCACGGCCGTAGCCGCTGTCCCCCACCCCGCCGACGACCCGCGCTACAACTGACGTCGACGACGACGACGACGACGACGACGACGGTGGCGATGACGGTGCGGCGGGCACGACGACCGATCGCCGCCGCCGCTGACGGATTAATACTCAGTGGACTCGCCGTCAGTGCGCACCGCCCGCGTTTTACACGCACGTTCTCGTCTCGCTCCGCCGCCGCCGCAGCCGTACAGATGTACTTTATCGGCAATCAGTGGCGTTTTCTCTGGGTGTGCAAGTTGTGTGTTAACGCCCTAAACATTGATGTCATACATGTGTGTAATATTGTAATTTGTAATTCATATTAGTATATTACATGGTTATATAATTTTATTTACAAAATCTTAAAATAATTGTCATGTAAAAATAATAATATCAAATAATAAACTATTGTTACTTTTGTCTATTTTAGGCTCTAAACTCGACCATTCGCCCGCGCCGTCTGCAGCTACGACGCGCAACGGCGTCCAATAACATTACGCCGATTACGGAATAATATTGTATTATGTTGTGTTTGTGTAGGCCGTAGGGTGTAGCCGTGTAGGACGTTAATGTTTCGAACAACGACTTGTGGTATCTAATATCTCATATTCGTAATTTGTCGTGATATTTTCGGATAACTTCGGTGCCATGTTAATACTAGACCAAGTCGTTGAAAATGAAATTAACGACTAGCCACTACTCACTAGTCTAGCGCTAGCCTATACACTGTGTTTGGACCGTTAGTGGGGATCGTCGCGGCTGCACGTTATCCTGTTTACGTCGTACACTCGTACTGCAAGACTGCAACGCCGATCGTCGAAAACATAATATATTCATTATTATATTAATTTGTACATTTTCAGTTTTATATTATATTTAATTTTATAGATGTTGGATTTGGATGTATTTTTAAAAATTTAAAAGTATTTAAAATAAATAATTTTAATAATATGTTGATTGTTAATAGTTGATACGAATTTATTTCCCGTAAGGGGAGTTTTCTTAATTGTTTTCCTCACACATCAACGCCTAACGCCGAAAGTCAGGAAACGCCACTGTTTATAATAATAAGTAATAACATTATTGCTATCAATATTTAAGTTTTACGTCGAGTTCAGTTCGGTTTCGTTTTCGATTCGTTTAATAATTATTATTGCGCGACGTCGCTGCGTGTATAATTACTACGTACCACGATAACGGTTAGGTGTCTGCGACAGTACCTGTATAATTTCGTGCTTTCCAGAGATCGGTAGGACTTACGGCGCCGATCGCGTTCGGGACATGTGCTGTTGATGACTCCAGTCGCGGATAGCATGAAATCCATAGCGTTGTTGCGCACCACCACCAATAACAACAATAACAAGAGTTGTTACTACGGCGGTTACCCGACCGATCTGAGCGGTTACGCCGCGGCCGCTAGGTGCCGATCGCCCCGGAGTCCGGTGGCCGACGACACGGACGACATAAGCGTCGGAAGGCCGTCGCCACCGGCGTCGGCCGAGTGTTACGCCCGGCTGCACGACGACGGCGGCGGTCATGGATCCGACACGTCGTCGTCCGGCGGCGGTTCCGATTACTTCGAACCGCTGAAGAAGTTGGGCACGGTGCAGATCGACAAGGTGAGCTACGGCATTAGCGATCGCAAGAGCTACGCGCCCAAGCGTCGGGCGCACAGGCTACACCAGCAGCATCAGTCTTTGTTGACGTCGCCGCCGCCGCCGCTGCTTGACGGCTGCCCGGCTTCCGGCCGCGTCGACATGATGACGATGACGACGACGACGACATCCACGCAGCAAAGTGGTCGGACAATCGCTGGTTCTTCGGCCGTTGCCGAGGACGCGCAGCCCGCAGCCGGCGTCAAGTCGTTCAGCATCGCCGACATACTCAGCCACGAACCGTCGTCGGCGGGCGGCAAACCACCGTCGGCCACGACGGCTGACGATGCGGCCAAGATCGTCAGACCGTGGGCCGAGGAGTACCAGCCTCCTTGCACCTCGTTCGTGCCGCCACCGCCTCCTCCACCGCCTGCTCACCGACAGCCCGTCGTAGGCGCCCTGTTCCCGCACTCGCTGTTCATACAGCACTTACAGCACCAGCAGCAGCAACAGCAACATCATCACCATCACCAGCAGCACCAGCATCACCACCGGCCAAAATCAGCCGACTACGAGACTTCCACGTGCACCAGCGGCCGGTCCAGCACGGACGGAAGTGAGTGTTGCACCAGTCCGGAAATAGCGAGTTGCACCCAGTCGAACCCGTCGTTGTCGTCCGCGGCCGCAGCCAGGAAACAACAAGCGGCCGGCAAGAACAACGACAATTCGTCACCGCTGGACGCTCTGTTCCAGATGACCAGTAAGACGTTCGATCAACTGCATGGCGACCCGTCTGGAGCCGGTAAGTGCAATGTTTAATATCTATTTCAAATTTTCATTTGGTTTTTGGATTTAAATTGCAGTCTTTAAATGAGATTTTCCGATATTTATTGGGTGGGAGCCACGTGTGTTGAAAAATCTAATAGGTATTCTTTATTTAATTACCAATTAACCAATCCGTTTTTCTCGCCGACTAAAATTACTGCTATTATACTATTAATCGCTAAGTAGAAAATCGATTTTGTCAAGTGCCATTCTGGTTTTGAATCATTTAATACCCAACTAGCTAATCCTGTCATAATAACTGCAGTAGCTAATAGCTATATTTAATATAATATGAATTATTATGAACACGATATGACACTCCTATACTGTTGTGTTAATAGGTTTTTATTGTAATGTTTCAAGGATTTTTTGCCATTCAAAACGTTATAATTGGCATGCGCCGGTATGTCGCGCATTTTGATTTAGTTTATAGCTAGGATACTTAGGTATCTAAATTATATTATTATCGACTGCGTTACATATAGTTGGAACTCAGCGGGACACCTATATTTGAAGATTGAAATAATAGAATAGAAAGATGAAAAAAATAATAAAACGAACACATTAGTTTTGGATAGACATTTATATTATTAAATTTATTCTAAAAAAATGCATCCACAGCACTAAAATATTCTTTCGTATATGTTGGGTATTGGTACATTCGATTCGGATGCGTGGGATTACAAAATAACATGTATATATATATATATTACGCTTATTATAATGTATGCGGATTAATATAATAACACAACTCATGAAAATATCTATGAATTCCACTCTTTTATGTAATTGCAGGCATGCCGCAAAAAAGTTATAATCAGTAATTCCATAATTATTTTTCTTAAAAACTAGGACGTTTGTCATCCGACCTTTAAATACTAAATGGTATTTACTACAAGTGAATTACGCTTTTCATCATTTGTAATGAACAATAATTATCTATTTATTTAATATAAATTTTACATTAGCAAGTATTTAATAGTGTAAGTAGGTACTTAAAGTATAGCAAATTTTTAGTATTAAAAATGAGTTGACAATTAAATGTAGTGTGACAATGATTGACAATTAATACTTAAGATGCAGCCAGTACATGATATCAGAAGCATAGGCGAAACTACGGGTCAGGCCAGTCAGGCTATGGCCTGACCTAATACTGGCGGAAAATTTTTATAATGTATATTATATATTTTAATAATTATTTGGGCACATATTTTTTTATATTTATTTTATTTGGCCTGACCTAATAAAAATGTCTAGTTTCGCCTATGATCAGAAGCATTACAGTTTTCTTATTAAATCTTACACCTTATTTGATATGAAAAATAATCTGACTCAATTATGTCAAAAAAAAAAAAAAATTTAAATAAAGAACTTCCAAAATGTCATTACAAATTTAATATAATTACATATACAATAATGTATATCAGTTTTCATTAAGTATTTACGCATTATTTTTAATGGTTTTTCATTTTGTTTTTTAGATTGTTCTTTAAATAATATTATTTTTTGTTTATTTAAATAATTTATTTTTATTATTTTGTGTATGGAAAAATTTAAAATAAACTGGACATCCACTTTTTACATAACAAAAATTATTTAAATTGTTAACATAAAAATATTTAGTGAAACTAAAATTTAAATTTCATCAATGATATATAAAATATATACCATTTTGCTACACATTACTTTGATTTTCAATATTTTAAAACATTGAATAGTAGCACACTTATTCCATAAAATTAAATATAGCCATGTTGTTCTATGTTGTAGTACTATTATTTAATATCTATTAAGTGAAATAAATGACATGTAATTAAGGAATCAATAGGAAATTTCGATATCAGTTGTATTGTATTATTGGACTTGATTAAATTAATGAATACCAGATAGAATACAGCCTTAAATAAAATTCTAGATCCGAGACTAAATTGTATATCTTCTTTAATATATAAACAAAAATATCAGATCATTTCACTTAATAGATATATTTTGAGTGATTATTAATTTAGCCAATTATAGAAAGTGGAGTATAGGGTTATATTAAAATTGTAAATTCTACCATTATTGGTTACCAATAATTTTTTTTACCTAAATAAATATTATAAATTCCACCGATTACAACTATTATTGATTTTTAGCTTTTATATTTTCAAGTTTTTAATAGCATACCCAATCGACTAAATTATTTGTTTACCTGAATATCCCAGGATGATAAACTAATACGTTTACCGTTAATAAATTCTATATAGAATTTCACATTTAAATCCGGTTAATAATATTTAAATTTCTTAATCCAACAATGAAGAAAAAATGTATATACCTATATTTACCTAAAATTTGAATTTTTTAAATGATTAATATAATAAACTATTAATTAATAATTGTATTATTATATTGTTTTTCTGATCTGTAGTAATAAATAATAAATAAATAAATATAATCATTACATATATATGTCTTACATATTATATAAAGGGGTTGATGCATATATTTTCCATTTTTATCATTAACGCACACAATTAAAATATACCCAATTTAAACATCGATAATTAAAACAGTTATGAAAATTAATGAGGTCTTTAAAACTATTATATATTTTATAACCAATAATAATTTTGTTCGGTTTAGCGTTTCAAAATAATCCATATGTACTATATACCTATCAACTTCTGCCGCGAAAATATACAATTATGTGTAGGTATTAAAACGTAACAGTTACATGATTAAAATACGTATAACTAAAATATTTATCTTAAATATCGTACAATTAATAATAATAATAATTATTATAGTTATTAACCCATGGCCAACGCCGTCGAACACACTCATGAATCAATTCATCATTTATCAGTATATGTTCCTTGATTGTATATAAATTATCTAACTGTGAGTAAAACCTAAAAAAGGGTATGCAAGTAACCGAGTGTTTTCCAGGGTTTAATTTTATGCATCTTACGGATTTTCAACAACCCCCCCCCCCCAAGAGAAGCACAATTTCGTGTTATTGTTCACGGTAGATTGCAAATGAATAATGCTTTGCTGCGAATCATACTCGAACACTTGGCCGGCGTTAAATAATGCGTGTATTATAATATTCTACATAATAAGCGTAGGTATATAGACACTACAATATAAAAGGGGTGCAAGGAAAACAAAAATCTTCAAACGATCGATCGATGGTCTGCGACAACACTCGAAAATCGAGGGCTAGCGCACGCACATACAATAATATACATACACGCACACAAATACACATACACATCCACTGCACGCGGACACATAAATATTGTTTAGGTGAGAAATAAAACCGCCCTTTTGACGTCCCGCGGCCGCCCTTCACGGACCACCCCGTAGTAAAGAGACCCATGAACGTCGGTTTTCTTTAAGCGCGCGTGGAACAATAGAATAACCGACTAGTCTTCGACGTCATTAGGAGGTTAATATAAAATATACCAATGCTATATTGTTTCGTATGTGATGCGCTTCGCACCACCGTATATGTAATAACAACAATAAATAACGCCTAAACTCTGGGCCCCGTGTATAATTAAAACATTATTTGTATATGACGTATTAATAACGCAGAATGGAAGAAATATAATAACAACCGACAATAATATTATACGGGAAATTTAATTATATTATACGGTGAGGTGGACATAGAGCAGATGTTGTTGTTACCCTCTGACGGCCCGCCGCGCAGCGTTTTAGGTTTCCGTGTCCCTAGTCTACTTGTCGAGCCTAATTTATGTGGTCTTGTGATTCAAATTTTATTCTTCAGCCCCGTTTTCTATTACAATGTGCCTACACGCGGACCACCCTCCGCTACAACGTTTTAGTGTGTATACCTACGTTATACGGTATTTTTATTTTTTACCAACTCTACGGCCCTCTAACGTTGTCTTTAAATGTGATACGATGACTACATTTTTAACAGTGTATATATGTATATATATATTTAGTATATGTTAATATACAGGTACCTACTTTGACTAAGATAATACTATATTAATATATCTAATGTGTTATCCTTATAATATGATATAATAGTCGCACGAGACAACAGAAATTATATACGATGACAACAATATAATAATATACTTACAACAAAGTAAAATGGACTAATGTCGCGTGTATCTACTAAATACGTTAACAGAAAATATTTCTGCGTCAAAACTTTCAACTTATTCTCGTCTTCATTTTCACTTCGTGATATGAATACGAATCTCTGAATATGACTCTAAGTAAAACAAATTTAGTATAATGTGCAAAATATGTCACGGTTTTTTTTTTAGGACCCTGAAACCATTAAATTTTATGTTCTATTAAATTATAATAAAATAGTAGAGTTGATTAGTGTAACAAAATTTAACCCAATTTAAAATCATAGAGTTTAAAATTTTTTCAAATGTTTTATTTTGAGATACTCCTACATGAAAAAACAATCTAATCTAACATAAAAATTATATACTTTAATTTTCTCAATATGTCAAAGTAAATTATTCACTTACTTAACACAGAAGTCTTTGATTTTCACTATTTTTTATTAGATCGATTCAAAAAAATAAAATATTCATAATTTCATGACCTTTATAACCTTCATAAATTTTAGTGAAGTATTTTTTTTCAAAATTTTAATTTAAAAACAACTATTTAAAAAAATAACTAAAAAAAAAAAATTATTTTTAAACAATCAAATGTTTTTTTCCTTTCTAAAAAGTATGATAAATTCTCCTACCTAATTATTCAACGCAACATTTTATTTTTAGTATATAAACAATTAACTAGTATAATAAGTGCAGTCTTAATTTATAAGCAAACACCATCTTGTAAAAGGTATATCATAAAAATTGGAAAAAATAAAACATAGGTATATCATATATTTTATCTGTTAATAAACAATATGTCAGATGTCGAGAGTTTTAACTCAAAAATATTTTTATTCAAGTTAAATAGAGATTAAATTATCTTATTTTA